GTGATGCGCATGATACCCCTCCACATACTGCATGGATCCTGGGAAGAAAAAACTACCCTGAATCTTCTGCGTATACGTGGCTTTGGCTCTCTTGACGTCTACGGTCAGTTCTCTCCTAGCCCTCCTGAGTTTCTGTGCATCACCAGACCTGAATGCAGCATCCCTGGCTTTCTGCAGGGAACGGACTTCTGCATTCAACCAAGGTTTCTGGTTTGAATAGCACATCACAGACTTGGTGGTGGTAACATCCTCCACACACTTACTGATGTAGCTGAGGACAGCAGATGTTTGCTCCTCCAAAATCCAGCTTCTCCTTATATACAGCAGCATCCTGAAGACCTGCCAGTCTGTGCATTCAAAACAATCCTGCAGTACAGAGTCACCATCATTGGGCCACACAGTGATGGTTTTCTGTGTCGGTTTGGAACATCGTAGTGGGGGACGGTAGGCAGGGACCAGCATAATGCAGATGTGGTCGGAGATGCCGAGGTGGAGGTGGGGTACTGCCCCCACCTCGGCAGTACCCCTTATCAGTGAATCAGGCGGTGATGTGCCTGTATCAGTGAATCAGTCTGTGGTGGTGAAGTTTTCTTTGGTTGATCTAATATCATCTTAATGATTTGAATGCCATGCCCTATCTTGAAGAACATCAGATCTCTTAAAACACTGCAATAAGAATAGAATAACCCTTTAATTGTCCCACAAGGGGAAATTTGGTTATAACAGCAGCAAAAGTAAAAATAAGTAATCACACATAAACTGCACACTGGAGCATCTCAAACTGAAATAAAATGCTACACGAACATTATTTAGCAACACTTGTGTTCCATTTACCAGATTATGATTTGCTGAGCAGGTGATTGGTATCTTGGATGAGCAGCCGTCACGTGAAATGTGAAAATGGATCAGCAGCTCCAGTGATGAAGTGCCCAGTTACTTTATCGAGGACTGATACTCTTTTAAAAAAGCATCTTTTAATAATGTCAGGTAACCCATTAAGTACAGTTTACATGATTTATAAACTCTAAAATAATGTTTTATATAAATACATTTATATCTGTAAGAATTTGATTTTTTTTTCTTTGAAGCATGTTGCCATTTTGTGACTGCAGGAAAGTCAGCAGTGAACATTGGTCTTTAACCTCAAGCATGAGTTGAGGTTTTGGTAAACAACATGTCTGGCAGAAATTATTTTCACATCAGTTTCTGAACCACAAAGGGGACGAATGAGATGAGAAGAAGATAAAAGCAGGTCAGTGAAAATTTGTGTAAATCTTTGTCTTTTTGCAAGTGGTTACTTAGAAATAGGTCATGGTGTCTGCACAACTCCGAGTCTGCAACCCATGCCTAGCAAGCCGCATGCAGCTCTTTCGACCCTCAGCTGTGACTTCTGTGACTACTAAAACCAAGGAAATTTTAAATGTGTGGTTGAGCGCCTGATTTTTTTCTTTGCTTGTTTGTTTTTAACAGAATTGTACTCACAAACCCCTCCACCACAAGGTTTGCGATTCAAGGGGGGTTGTGTGTCCAAGGGATCCCAGTGACGATGTTGTCCGGGGGCTTCTACCCTTTATGGGGTATCCCATGGTAAATTGGTCCTGGGTCCGGGACCAGACAAAGAGCGATTAACAAATCTCCAATGAGCAGAAGATCAAGAGACTAGTTCACCCTACCTGGAATAGGGTTACCAGGGCCTCGCCCTGGAGCCAGGCCTGGGGAGGATGACCAAGGATGAGCATCTGGTGGCCGGACCTTAGTCCGGGGGCCCAGACAGGCACAGCCCAAAAAAGGGACATGGGCCCACACTCCTGTAGGCCCACCACCCACATCGGTCATGTGCAACGTTTGTTGGGCAGTGGCCATTGAGAGCTTGGGACCACCAGCAGCTTCTGACCTGATGATGTTAGAGCTTGGGAAGATGAATGTGGTTTCAGCAGGTCACATATACACTGGGGAGCTAGACCAGGTAGGACCCTAAGGCTAGTACTAAAATTTTAAAATGAAATCTAAAATTTACAGTCAACTAGTGAAGGGAGTCCAATACTGGAGTAATATGAGACTTTCTGTTGGTGCCTGTCTGCGTTTATGTGCCACATGACGGTTCAGAGTAAATGGCCTTCTTGGAGTCCCTGGGCGGGGTGCTTGAGAGACTTCAACACTCACGTGGGCAATACAGTGAGACCTGGAGGGGCGTGATTGGAAGGAACTGCCTGCCACATCTGAACCCTAGAATGTTGTTCTGTTACTGGACTTCTGTGCAAACCACAGTTTGTCCATAACAAACACCATATTCGAGCATAAGGGCATCCATGAGTGCACGTGGCACCATGACACTCTAGGCGCAGGATGATGATCTATTTTGTAATTGTATCATCAGCTCTGTGGCCACATGTTCTAGGCACTTGGGTAAACATAGGGGCTGAGCTGTCAACTGTTGGGTCAGGTGGCAGTGGAGGATGCTTGACAGACCTGGCGCACCCTATTAAGGGATTTTTAGGTGACAATATCACTCATCTGGAAAAAAATTTAAAAAAATCATATTTTATACAAAACATCTTATTTGCTCTCTCTTATTACTTTGTGTTCTGTTATGAAATATCATCAGTTACAATTTTCATTGCAGTACCACTGATTTTAGGGGGGGTGTCAGCACTCCATGGGACACTAACTTGGAATGGGAAATTATTTTTCAATCGGTCAATCATTTTATTCACATAAATTTGCATTTCAAACTTGGCCTTTAGATTTCCTTTTAGGTATAAGTTATTTTATTACCTTATTCCTGCATTCATGGATGTACCATTTGGAAGTTCACTTTTTTTTCTTAAATTAACTTTCATACATTTAATACAGCAGTTAATGGTTGTTTCTTGGATTTTTGGATGCGTTTACCATTATTTTTGCAACATTAGCACATTCTATATTCTATTGAAATGTATAGTTTAACTAATTTCTTAGCTAAACCAGAGGAATAGGCATCTCCATCTGATCATTGTAATGTGGAGATTAGGAAAATTTAGGTGAAATGAACGACACTAACAGTGACAGAAAAACAAAGACATTTGAAACAGAAATAGAAAAGACAATACCACACTGGAAATCACATTCTTTATATATATATATATATATATATATATATATATATATATATATATATATTAGAGGTGCAACGATACACAAAATTCACGGTTCGGTTCGGTTCGATACTTTGGTGTCACGGTTCGATATTTTTTCGATACAAAAAAAATGTTCATGCCTTTTTAATTAGTCATTTATTAAAATTATAAATATATATTTTAACACAAAAGTACAGTTTTTAAATTTAACCCTAACCCTTGTGCGTGTTGTTTTTTAGCTCGTCATATTGCAGCCACAGAAATTCTTTTGTCCATGAAACCATAAAGCTGCACTTTCTTTTTGCCTTATAGTCTGATTTGTCATAACTTCTCCGTTTTGTGGTAAGCTTTTCTTTGGCTGTCACTTCTTCACCCTGACCTGTCTTATTTGGCTCAGCAGAACTAAAATATATATCTGTCTGTGAAGGTTCTCAATCATCCAGGTCATCGTAGTGAAATATATATCCTGCCGCACTCACATAAGCTCAGCGATTCTCTGCGCGATCAACCTCTCACATGTTTAAGCTGCGGGAGATTTCACTTGTCATGTTTGCATAGTAAGCTAACGATTAATAAGACTATGTCAGAGGAATTGGTGCACAAATTATCATCACTCACAGATCAGTGCTGTCGCTCTCTATACACAGTTCGCGCGATTGCAAAGTGAAAGCAAAAAAACAAGCGCAAATTCAAACACGATTTCAATATGTCACATATTGACAGTGGCTCACCCAATGACATAATTACCCAGCTACATTTCTGAAAGAATGCAAAAGCATTGACATATATTTTTCCTTCCTACAATAGCCCGACAGGCAGGGGAGAGATAGCCCCGGGACGTCGGGCTAGCGATATTGCGAGCTCTGTATCTGATTGAGGAATCACTCATCTTTGGAAAAGAGAGTTTATTACAGAGAAATGTCTCTTTCCAAAATAAAAGCTATACTATCCGCTTCTTCTGGGCTATATTCTCAGCAGCATATTAAACATATCAGGTCTCCATAAGGAGAATCCTGTGCTAACAGCTGTCTAAATGACTCGGCTAAAGTTTGTAGCATGCATGCTTGTTGTTTTTGTCTTTGCACTAGGATGATGTCGGTGTAAATGTGCAGTCATATTCGTTGTGTTCCCACTAGTGCTTTCAGGTTAATCTCGTTGAAATGACCTTAACGCCACAACACGGCAAATCTCCGTTAACGAGCTACCCTATACAGAGGGGCTAGACGGCCAACACGTTAACGAGCTAACTGCGCTAACACACTAGCTCCCACCCATGTAATTGAGCATTGCATGGCACATCCAACATACTGTTTTACTTTAGTCCATGATGCGCTTACCTTCAGGGTCATACGTCACATGAAAACCAAAATAATTCCAAACGCCAGATCTGAATGAGGGTGGGGAGGTCCACTTCTGTCTCGCTAGCTTGCCCTGCGCTCTTCCTTCTGACCATCCTGTCTGTGTTGAGTGCTCAGTGAATCTGCGTTCGACTACTCCGCCTAGGCTGCACTCTCGAGCCTAGGCGGAGTAGTCAAATGCAGATTCACTGAGCGCTCAACACAGACAGCATCGTCAGAAGGAAAGTTGATAAAATAAATTACAAATTTTGTATTGTTCTTTTTTTTTCTCCCCTTTGGTTTTCTTTCTTTCTCTCCCCCTCTTTGTATTGTTCGATACCGAACCGAAAGCACTGTATCGAACGGTTCAATATCGATACGAATATCGTTGCACCCCTAATATATATGTGTGTGGACTAGTGTAACATATGTGTTAAACACTTGTGAATTTCACCCAAAATACTTTCTTTTTTGGAATAAATATGTCATTTTTTTGCATCTCACTCTCCTATCTGTGTGTTCGGTCCGTGTGCGTTCATGTGCGTGTGTGCGCTGCGTGGTGACGTAGGCGCGTGCATGTGTGCCCCGGTCACAGCTCCTTTCAGCATGGCCGGAGGTAAGTCACTGCCACGTTGCTCTCAGTTAATCAAAGTTTGTTCGGATCCCAAGCTTCAGTGTGAATACGACCGTACCGCCGCGGTTTTGTTTATTGTTAAGAGACTCATTTGGGATAAGTTTTGTGGAGGACGAGTTCATTAATACACAATTATAATGAGTTATAGCCGAGAACTCGGCTAATATGCTAGCATGCTAAGCTAGTCCGTATCGCTAGCGGCTTGAGAGTTTACTCGCGTCAGTCTCTCCTTTTGTGTAACAGCATGCACCTTTTCTTTCTTCGTCAGGAGAGGGTTACGGGCAGTCGCGTGACACGCACGGATCGAACATGTGTCTCTGTGTTGCAGGTATGGAGATGTTTTTATGTTTTGGAGATGCAGTCTTTCATTTATTGTTCTTATAAGTTGTTTTGATGTTTTTTAGTGACATATTGTTTATTTTGTGCTTTTTGTTTTTTGAGAGTTTAAGTCAATGGTTTGAAATAATTTGTTGTATTTGGTTCGTTACATTAATGTACATTAAGGACACAGCTCCTTTCAGCATGGCCGGAGGAGAGGGTTACGGGCAGTCGTGTGACACGCACGGATCGAACATGTGTCTCTGTGTTGCAGATGTGCAGTAAAGAGCCAAAGATTCGACACTGTCTCCTGCCTCTTGCTTCAACACCAAAACACAACGCAGAACAGCAGGCGTAACAATTAGACGGGTTACACTAGGGCTGCCACAAACGATTATTTTGATAGTCAACTAGTCACCGATTATTTTTCCGATTAGTTGACTAATCAGATCATGCATCCATTGGACGTACAACGTACAGCTTATTGCACCAGCATGCATCTGCTCTTATATAATTATCATTAGCTTACAGCTTTAAGTGTTTAAGGTATGTGCTAACTAAAAATAAAGACAAGATGATATTTTATGAAATTTGCAGATTGTTTTGTTGGAGTTTAATAAACTCAGCCGTCTGCTCCTTGCTATCTAAAATATACCGGGATACCGGAGTATATTCTTGAGCATCTCACACGTCTGATAATCAGTTGTCTGCTTGACGTTTATTCAGCTGTGTAAAAACTATAACTTTAATCTCAGCCAAACCGATTTATTCAGGATCAAATAAAACACTGTAAAAAGGCCAAACAATAACATATTTAAGTAATCTAAGTGACTTATATATGTTTAACCTGAGTAGCGAAAGACGGCGGTGAGGTTGAAAACAATTTGCCGGGAGTCCGCTGTTCTCACGGGCTCTAGTGAGCCTTGAACCCCAGCTAGCTATCGAGCTGGTGGGTAACAGACTTCTCCGAAAACGTTGGAGCGCTTTTGAAAATATGTTGAGTCTTGATAAACTGAGCAGATATTTGAGGTTTACACAGCTACATTCTTGCCTGAAAATATGTTAAACATTTATTTTGTGACCCAGAAAGAATAATAAGAGTAATATTAAAACTAATTAGCTACCGCCATTGTTGGAAACTGAGCAGGGCCGCGCTATGAATTCTGGGACACAGCTTCTTCTTCTTCGGGGTTTAACGGCAGCTGGCATCCTTGTACATGCAGTGCTGCCATCTTCTGTTTCAGTCCATTATTATACTCTTAAATCCTACTACTTATTCCTGCGTCTTTTGTGATTTTACAAAGCTTCAAACGACGCGTCGGCTATTAAATTAGTCGTCGACGATTTTAATAGTACCGACACAATTGTCAAAAACGCAAAAGATAATGGCAGTGTAATTGTACATGTCACGGTGAATTTATCCACTGCCATCACACGTAGGTAACTGTAAATACACAGTCCCGCTGATTTGTAACTGGTCCGTTTTTATATTACCCTGTGAGGGTCACCAACAAAAACCTGAAGATAACAAAATACAAAAATGTAGCCGTGTAAATTCCAAATATCTGTGCAATGTGGAAACACATCACATATCTGCACAAGTGTGCCTACGTTGACGGAGACATCTGTTACCGATAACTTATCCAGCCGGCGAGAACAGCATACTCCATTCCAACGCCTCCACCCGCGCTCTGTCACCACTCAGGTTGAACATGTCACAGAAGTCACCCAAGAAACTTACAAATGTTATTGCTTGGCCTATGACAGTGTTGTATTTGTTCCTGACAAAAATCGGCTTAGCTGAGAGTGAAGTTGGGAGTCTGCACACAGCTGAATGTGCAAATGTATTATAGGGTACATCTTTTGCCATCTTACAATGTTGTGATTGCAGCCATTCCCCAACTCTCTGTGAATGGTACTCATGGCCATAGATCAGTGGTCTTTGATCAGTGGGTTTTGGTCAGTGGTTGTTGATCAGTGGTCATGAGAATTTGCATAGTTATGATTAAGGAACTGACCTCCCAGCCCATTGCTCCTTCAGTGGGCTGGTTTCAGTCATTATGCAAATGTACTGTTTATAAGATTGGAGAAACCTGCAGTCAGCTGAGACTGAAGAAGTCACTTGGATGAGTTACAAAATGTTTCTCCCACAAAACGCTATGTCCAGATGAACAGAATCAACTTTTGGAGATTTACTTTCCTGGATGATTGAGAATGCATCAAGACAAATGTATTATACGACACGTCAAACAGAAAAATGATGACACAGAAGTGTAAGATGGTAGAAAAAGTATTCCAATGTCCTGTCATATTCCAGGGAGTAAGAAGGAGACGGCTGAGCTCATCAAACTCCGGAGTGAAAACGAACACCTGTTCACTGGTGCCAGGAACTCAGCCGCTGCGGGTTGGAGGTATAGCAACAGTATGCATGCATAAATCTGTCCTGCTCTGTAGTTTGAAGTTGGCACATATTGCTGAGGATCCTGTGCAAGGATTAACATCATTGACATGTCCTATCATATTCCGTCTACCAGGGAAATCCTGGAGCAGATGGGCCTGGCGGGCCAAATCCCCCCGTTGCAGGCGGGGGAAAAAATGGGACAACCTAAAGAAAAAATACAAAGTATGTGCAGTACCATTGGAATATAAATCATATGAACCTAGTCATGTAAACCTGTACTGTTGCTGTTGCGGTGAACTGCCAGTTTGATTCCCTCTGCCTGTTGGATTGCAAGTATCCCACATCAGGTGAGGGGGTGAGTGGGAAGATCATTGCTGCCACTTGGCCCTGGTTTGTCCCAATGGATGAGGTCCTAGGACAGAGGCCTTCTACCAGGTGTCCAGTTCTAATTGCCTCCATCCAGGAGGACACTCCAAGGCCCAGCAAAGCAGTGGGCACCCAAGGGCAGGATGTGGAACGGCGGGAGAATGAGACCCAGCTGGAGGCAAAACCAGAAAAGAGGAAGAGGAACAGGGAGGATGAAGTCCTGGAATTGATCAAAGAGGAAATAAGGCTACAGAAGGAGATTGAAGAAAGATGTGCCGAGCAAATGGACGGGATCATACGTCTACTGGAAGGTTGTGGAAAAACAAAATGAGTAAGGTAGTGTGAATAGGACCCATTGTACAAACACTTACAGTTCTCATATTTGTTTGTGCAGGATATGTGAAATGTGGACGAAATAATTTAAGTTCTGTTAATACAAGTTGCACTTTTGATTTGAATTGTTGAACAAATGTGAAAAATGAACAGAATGTACAAAGTCCTGTGAATAAAAAAAAATTGTTACACTCCATCTGTATTTGGAGCAGTCAGTCATACTGCATACAACGTCACAATATATGTGTAACTGAATAAGGATAGTCAGTGTGTGAACTGAGGGAATACCATCAGTGCAACACAAATGACACAAGACACCCAAACACAAAATGACAATCATTCACTAGGACTCATCACTCCAGTCCAGGATCAACCTGAGTGTCCCATTATGCATAGGCACTGTTAACTAGGCCTGTTATGTGGCTGAGCAGGGAGTCTCAGGCAGTACTGCTCAATCTGCTGGACCAGGACCACAGAAAGGAATGAGGTGCCTCAAGTGAGACCCTTGGTTTTCATTTTCAGCTACTGAGTGGAGCATCTCCAGCTTGGTGGCCAGGAGTCATTTAGGTGTGCTCGTTTCCACTGTCCACCACATCATCTCATCACTTGGGTTTGCAGGGCTGGTGTAACTGACAGCTGCCATGTCCCTGAAATGTATGGAGAAAGATGCAAGGACAAAGTGCACACAATCCTGTTAATATGGATGTCACATGTAATATTCTAGCACTCTAACAATGCACTATAAACAGCATACCTGCCTTCTAACAATAATCGTGGTCCAGGGGTACCCCCTCCAGGGCAGACACCTCTGCAGATAGCCGAATCCCACCAGAGAGCACCACTGCCTGCCTCCAAACCAGCCTCCCCCTCTTGCGCGTCATCCTCGGGCTCATCCTCCAGGGCCACAAGATTCCCGACACCAAGGCAGATGTTGTGCAGGATGGCACATGCTGTTATGACCTGAAACAGATGTTTTGAGTTGTACATAACGTATTAATACACAAACATACACTGTAGTCCCCATTATATCATGATGATTATTATTGAAACACTGCTTATGTATCCTACTGACTTACATGTGGGACAAAGGTGTGGTGCACCTCCTGCGCTTGGAGGAAGAAGAAGAACCTTGTCTTGATCATTCCAAAGGCACGATCTATAATAGAGCGTGCCTTTGGAATGATGGGAGTTAAAGCGCAGGGCTCCAACACCTTGGACTGGCCTCTTGTAGGGAGTGATGAGGTGGAGTGGATGCTGGAGACATGGGTGCCTTCCATCTGCAAGGATGAAGTGCCCTGGAGGAGGGTAAATGGGCTGTTGCGGAGCACCCTGGAGTCATGCACTGACCCCGGCCAGCCCACATATGTATCAATGAAATAGCCCTGATGGTCACAAACCGCCTGCAGGATTATGGACGGGAACAACTTCCTGTTCCTGTAGCACTGAGCGTCAGGACCGCTGGTGGGCTTGATGCGGACATGGCAGCAGTCAATTGCACCAGCAGCCTTCACAAAGGCCCTGTGGCCTGCCAGCTGTGCAAACCCATTGGACATGGCATCTTGGTCTTTTGGGGTCCGTGGGAGGTGGATGACCTGATGGCGCGTGGCCACCACCACCTCTGTGACCCTGTGCACGATGCGGTGGACAGTGGAACGGGGTATTGCGAACACCCTGGACACAACCCAGTAGGCTGCTCCACTTGCCAGCCAGAAGAGGAACACAAGGGCCTTGATCGGGGCACCCCAACCATGTCTCCGATCCTGGTTCAGTAGATTCAGCAGTGCTGTCATAAATTGACAGTAAAGAACTCAGAGATCCAGCACTGTCTCCTGCCCCTTATTTATACACAAGAACACAACGCACTGACAGGCGTAACTCACACAAACGGGTAACATGAGGCTCATATGCTTTGGACATGTTCACATATACTGGACACAGAATGATGAAGATGGAGCTGCCAGGAAGGAGGAAAAGAGGAAAACACAGAAAAGATTCATAGATGTGGTGAAAAAGGACACGACAGTTTCTGTTTGTTAGTTTGGTTTTTCTTTATTTGGTAAAGATTCAGAAGATAAGATCACATGTTTGAATATAATATTAATGTTCTGTAATTACAACAAGTTGTAAAATATTTACAGAGTCAGACAGACTGTGCAGAGACTGTAGAAGGACAGAGCAGCAGCAGAGCAGTCCAGATACACTGATGATCCTCTGTCAGATCCAGAGGGACACACAGGGATGATGCTGGACT